ACCCGTAGTTAACATAATTTTCCAATAGGTTTATCTAATATACATCGCGTTTTAAACCGTTAAAGTGTTTTATTTAAATCTGTACTACTCGTGTAAATTACATTATTTCATATAGATACAATTCAGTTGGGCTTCTCTGTCTCTAGCGTACTCGAAGCATTTCTGAATTTGTAAAAATATTGAGTTATGTACAAGAAGCACTTAGGCCCGAACGTCATGTGGCTTATCTGCCTAATATTGACGAGAACGGTATACGCACTGTAATCTTATTAAAACGTCAAGGCTTTAACACTAATTACAATTATTCTAATTAGATCTGCGGTGACACTGTGAAAGTCGTATTTTACGTAAGAATATCACCATTTGCATAAATTAAGGAAGTACATAATTTCTTATATAGATTTAGTGAGTGGTTAATATGTTAAAGAAACAATAATTTTCTTCAAATATAAGTTACACAGCAGATGGCGCTAGCGTAAACTTCCTCCATCTTTATTGCGGCAATGACTTATGCAAAGCAACCCAAACATCTGACGAGTCCAATGTTTGACGTGCTGGTGCTATAATGGTAGTATTGTTGACTAATTAAAAACGTGTTTGGATCCCCGCAGGGCCAAAATGTTTCTAATATACATCTATTTTTTTCTGAAACACGTTGGACTTCATTCAGAAATCTGGTAGAATATCAAAATTCCTTCCGGGTCAAGAACCAGAGATCAAAGAGCCGTTAAATTGAATCGCGTTTTGGTTTCAATCTGTGGATGTCCTAATGTCGAAGCCAGCATAGTGCATCTCGTTTAGATGTTATTATCAAAAGAGGAAAAGGAAGTTAGCAAAAACAAATTTGAATGCCCAAAATTACTATTCTACGCGCACGAAGTCGCTGACACAGCGAGTATATATAATTATAAACGCGTTTAGTTTTAAAATCTCATACATTGTGGAGACGATTAAAAATATAAGTGTTTATTGATCAATTAAATATTCAAAAAGGCAGTGAAGCGCTCGCAAGTAACTTAATATTCAATTAACGGCTTAACTTATCTATTAGATTCGTGGGATGGCTACCGAGACACATTAATGGGGCCAATACTTCGATTAAAACCACATTAAGTTGTCCCTTGGCGTTTTGTCGTTCATTAATGCTCATTTAATTAAATATTTACTTAGGATTTAATTATATTTATTGTAATAGAGTTATGTTTTGCTAGCGACTAAATACTTTTTGTTCGACAGAGGAGTAAAAAGCTCATAGGTTATCTTGATAGAAGAATTAAATCTTCTTAGCTTAGCAATATGACATCTAAACAAGATGAGCTGGCTGCTTATGGCTTATTCGCAAATCCACAGACTGAAATCAAAACCCGATTAAACTTAATAACTCACTTTTTTATCATTATTCCGAGATTTAAACACATCGATACAGAGATGGTTCTAATATGTATAATATTTGTTTTATGATACAGAAAGATCAGCATGGTATTTACTTGCAATTTATATTTTTACTAACTAGGTACACATGTTTTAAGATAATTATAGTAAGAATGATGGAAGGCGAAGTACTACAGCCATACCAATAACATCTACGTCACTTACGTAACTTCACGTCTTTTTATCTGTGGAACTTAGTTTGCCTGACGGAATTTCGATTGTTATCAACAATTTAATATCCAGACTTCCAGACGAAATTTAGTTCCAAACGTGTTTCCAAAAAATTATAAATTGATGTAGATAAGCCTGAACACTGAAGCTACTTTTTATTATCATCCCGAGATTCAAACACGTCTCTACACACGGCTTTAACATGTATATAATAACTTATTTATAAGAATAACATTTTTATTGCTAAGAGGTAACAAACAATATAACGTGTGCCCTGTAGTTTGAACAAAACACTATCTACTTACGCAGCCCGTTAATCAGATCAGCGAAAATAACAAACAAAGGACTAAGTATAAGAAATGCGACTTCTTAAGTATGGTTAAACGTGTAAGCTGAAGCTTTGTAACTTAAGCTGTGGCTAGATGGAGGCCTCGGAGTGAAGCCGTCTGCGTAAGGCTTCTTGCGGTCTCCCCGCACTTCCTTCCAAGCTTGTCTCGCTAACTACTCCGATTTACTTATAGCTAAGTACCTCTGGTATCAATTACTTGCGATTTGTTGCCATTTTTGTGTAAATTGATCGGGTCTGGCAACATTTTTGGGATTATTACTTAATTTTTATCATAGAGGAACAAATACCCCATTCATCTTATAACATTTAAACAAAAACCGTTGTCGATCTATTTTGGATTCTATACATAGGCTGAAACCAAAACGCTCCACGGATTTTTAATCTGTGGACAGTGATTTGTGACCAGGACGGAATTTCGAAAGGCCTACCATCCATTTAATATCGAGATTTCCAGACGAAGGTTTCTGAAAAGAATATAAATTGGTTAGAAACATTTTGTACCCGGTGGGGGTCGAACCCACGACCAAATTTTGCTTTTGCAAACCTCCTCATCTTTATACATTATATCTGTTACCCACGACGTCCTCCGCGTCCCATCGTTCTTGCAAGTTAATCTCAAAAGATAGACATATACTGTCGTGGACTTTTTTATATCATTTACAGTGTAATCATTCTTTCATACCAACGGAAAAACTCAAAGATCAGCATGCTCTACTGTTTCTTCGCTTGACCTCTGAAATCACGACCTGTTTATTATTGCTATTGTACCTATGTGGAATGATTGATTTAGTGGCGGTGTTCAAAGATGAAACAGCGTGCTTGGTTTTAGACTCCTAAGAGATAGGAGGCCTATATCTCGCTGTGGGACACAAATCTCAATTAATAAATTAATTAGCCGGTGTAAATAAAATGTATAATGATATTCTCGTGTGTCACCGTATTAATATGCAGTAGGTAGTGCCTGGGTGGCAAACCGCAACCTCTACACTTCGTTGCGCTAATGCCCCACGCTTGTGCCCGTAATCCTTTGTTGCTTGTAACGTTTTACTTCAAGTGACACTTTTTTAATCTTTCATTACTTAAAGGTTTATTTTTGACGCACAAAGCACGTCGCGTAATGCAATTATGTGTTTTTCAAATAATGATAATACAATAACAATGTAAAAAAATAATTAATCTGTACTAATAATGTAAAGATAGTTTGTTAGTTGAACGCGCTAATTTCAGGAATTGAAAACATTTTGTGTTTTGGCCATGTACGCCATTCATTGCGGAATTAAAAATTGTGAAAATTCGGTTCAAACCAAAAAATATGTAAGAATGATTCTTCTGTAAATGATCTACACCAATATATGTCTATCTTTTACATTTAACTAGGAAAACCGATTGGACACGGATAATGTCATTGGGTGACAGTTATAGTTTATAAAGCTTTCTCAGTTTGTTTTTCGGTTTGTTAAATAAATAATATGATGCCCAAAACATACTAGCCAAATAATATTCGCGTTTGAAACTGTAAAAATAGTTTTATTTGATGTGTCAATAATACTAGCAAATATAAAAGAGATATTAATTAGCGTTTACAAAGTAAATGACCGCTTCTATAGCCAAATGGTTAAGCAGCATATGCAGCATTGCGTTAAGCGCGAGAGGGCCAGGGTTCGTCCAATCCCAGGGAAACAAAAAATTGTTTCGGCCAGGCAGGGCACAGAAGTCTGACACAACTACTTGCCTATTAAAGAACGGATCAGTGAAACGGACACAGAAATGTGTTAGCCCCATGCCCCACGAAGGGGAAACGGGATTTCTAACAAATACAAAGTAAACTTACCTAGTTCATCAACCATATTTCCATTGATTTTAACCTTGACAGCACCTTGTGGCAATTTTTCAACGACCCTAGTTTGTAATTACGCCATTAGGGTCCACTGCCGTTAATTCATTATAATAAGGTCCAACTGCCGACTGAGTTTGCTCGAGCGTAAAAATTATTATCATTAGTGGGCAATAATGTGGCTATGTGAACAAACGTCAGGCCGCCATTACCCTTATCGGCACGCCCGGGGACTGATGGAATAGCTTCAACATAGGTTGGCTTCATCAAGCCTAGGCATTGATAAAAAAAATATTGGCTCGTGGGTGTAATAGTGGTAGTATGGCAAATAATAAACGGGTGGTGGGTGGATCCCATCGGATCCAACATGTTTCTAATCAATTTGTAATTTTTCTGAAACACATTGGAGTTCGTTTAAATAAAACACTTTAACGGTTTAAAACGCGATATATTAGTTAAACTTTTCGACAATGATTTTTAACTTTGGTCCGATGTTTCCTCGTCTCCCCGTGACCACGACTGCTGCAAAGCATCCGAAACGTCGGACCGAAGTTAAAAATCATTTTCAAATAAGTTTAAGTAATATATCGCGTTTTAAACCGTTAAATTGTTTTATTTAAATGTGTGATATTCGCGTAAACTATACACCTGTTGGAGTTCGTCTGGAAATGTAGATATTAAAAGGCTGGTAGGTTTATCGAAATTCCGACCCGATACGAATTACGGTCCACAGACGAAAAAGCCGTCAAGTTCAGTCTATGGATTTCCGTGTGTCCAAAGTCAAAATAGGTGGCACTTCTTGTTTAGATGTTATAGGGCACCGCACAGAGTATGTCACCTTCCATCATCTCCTTCCATGCTTATCTGCCCTTCTCTATTAAAAAATTAGCCTATCTCAAATTCTGAGTAGGTTTCTAGTAAGTATATGAAACTGGCCCGATGATGTTTGATTGTCTCGTTAGTCTAATGTAAACGTTAGTAACCAACGAATCGCGGGTTCGATTTCTACTGGGTTCAACATGCGGTCTGTACATAAATACAATAAGTAAAAAGGCACATCAAGTTGCCCAAATTCAAATTTAGGATCTAACATATTATAGTCTGTGCTATATCTATCAACAAAATCAATAAAATAAAAAAGTATCAAAAAAGTAAAGTAAAGTAAAGTATCAAGTTTGTTATTAAATTTTTTTAATGTCATTTCATTTGTTACAGGTGTCAAGGATGATTCCGATGATGTGTCAAGTAAAAGCTGCGGCGGTGACTCTTCAGGATTGGCCAAGAAACAAAGGAAAGCGCGGACGGCCTTCACAGACCACCAGCTGCAGACCTTAGAAAAGTCATTCGAGAGACAGAAGTACCTGAGCGTACAGGACAGGATGGAGTTAGCTGCTAAATTAGGACTTACGGATACACAGGTCAAGACCTGGTACCAGAATAGAAGGTAAGCGTTTGGAAAAACATAATACAGTATTAAAATAGAATCTTTACAAGTAGCTATGTGTATGTGAGAATATACAATTTTTACAATAGATTTCATTGATATAACTTTAAGAGGAATTAGTTGAGTTTTTAAATAAAACACAATTGACGGTTTTAAACACGAAAAATACATGGTATAATAAAATATTTATAACTAAGGCATTTCGGTTGTCTTAAACCAGGCATGGTCACGGGCTTTTATATTTTAAGTTAAAATTTTGACCATAAAATGATGTACAATCTATTAATAAACACTTGAAATAGAACTTGCACGTGACTGTACCTACGTGTATTTGATTACAATATTATACGCTTCTCGTGAGACCGCCGCCGGATCGCGCAGACCAGTGCTGAGTCAGCGTACACTCGTGTCATTAAGTCTATTTAAGTTACGAAGAAGTAATATTAGCTTAATCCACTATAGGTAATGTTAGAATATATGTTTAGAGCAAACGAAAGTTAATGGGTTATTTACTTCTACGTTGCCCTTTCATATGAGAGAACTTGAATACTTAGATTATGACATCCCTGATAAACAACAAGAGCTACGATGCTGAACTCAAGGTCTGGTTCTTTTCATTAAATAATTAAACTTCTAATCATTGTATGTTGTGTTCCAACTATTTTTTTCAAAGACTCGCTACAATAAATGAACAAACAATAATCCAAACTTAAATAAAACACTTTAACGTTTTAAAACGCTAAGCATATTAGTTAAACATATTTACCAATTATTTTAACTACGCCCCGACGTTTCGGATGCTTTGGAGCAGCCGTGATATTTAAAGTTGTATAGCTATAGATCTATAAAATAAATATCGTACCGTATTTTCTATTCGACTGTATCAGAAGCGGTGATTTCAAAAACAAACGCTAATAATTAGGGTCTAACCTGCCACCGGCCGCGGAACGTTTAAACGTACAAAAACTATAATGATTAAAAAAACTAACTCCACTATAGTTAGTTACATAAAAATGAATTCCTTTTTTATTCTTACTAGTGAGTATAATCGCTTTTTACGGTATTTTAAACAATTTTTTTTTAATATATTAGTTAGTAGTATTGCTTGTGGAAAAATTATCTATACGAATATTATACAGGTAGAGTTTGTTTGTTTAAACGCGCTGAGATCATTTATCAAAGAGGTTTTACGCTATATATTATGAAGCTGCGACCGATAGAAGCGAAAAATTAGTGAAAATGTGGAAATACACGGAAAATTGGTTATCCTTGAGGGCTTCCGTTGCGCGTGCTGCGAACTGTTGAAGATATGTTGTATGTAAGAAAGAATAATGTCTCTTTTAATGATATTATAATGTCCGTAATGCAGGATTATATGTCAATATTTAAAGATTAACTTTCAAGTACCATTTTTATGGTAATCAAATTTGTTAGAATTTATCAATATATTAATCTTGCAAACAACAAAATAGTATAGCCGAATCAAATACTGTCTATAGTTTACGCGAGTAGTACACATTTATAAAAAAACACTTTAACGGTTTAAAACGCGATATATTAGTTAAACTATTAGTTTAAAAAGCATCAAATCTGCTGCAAAGCATCCGAAACGTCGGGTCGAAATTAAAAATCATTTTCAAATAAGTTTAGCCGAATCAGCTGGTTAAGTGATATAGACTATATTCTTTTATAAGTTCTGAACGTTTCAAATCTGTCAAAATTTATAGTCTGTAGGCGCCGTGCACAAAATAGACTATATTATTCTGAAAGTTCTGATCGTTTTGAATCTGTCAAAATGTATAGTCTGTAGGCGCCGCGCACAATGTCACCCGCCCAGTCTACCGTTTTTTGTCGTGTTTTTTGCCGGCGTTTTTGTTGATTTTCTATAATTATGGTTAAACTAATGTTTGGGCTACGATTTTTCGGTTCGTGAAAGGGTGTGAAATCGAAGTTAATTGAAGGATGTAATGACTTTTGTGTGCGGCCATTCTTTTATGTTTGCCGGCCTACTACTGGCAGGGGATAAGATAAATAATAACTTAGATATAATGTAATATTTTTAATGCTACTAGAAAGGGTTTGTGTTACTAATTTAGGTCACTTACCGAAAGTGTCAATTCAAAAAACTCCAAAAAAACTATTGTAAATACATTTTGACGTCATTAAATTGATTCAAGTATATAAAGGATAAATCGTAGTATATATTTAAATTACATTTATTGTGGTATTCTTGGACGTCTATAAAGTAAAATCTGAAGCTGAAGAGTTTGTTTGTTTGAATACGCTTACATCTGGAAATACCTACTGATTCGAATTGAAAAATTATTTTGTATGTTGTAATGTATCATGGAGAGCTATAGGCTATAAAACATCTCGCTGTGACTATTAGGAGTGAACAAACAGCGGAAAATGTGGAAAAAACTGAGAAAATTATTAATTTTCGTGGGTCTCCGATGACGATTTAAGACACCTAAAAATGTATATAGAAGACTTATCCCCATTTAAATGATCTAAAAAAAATGAGCAGGATATATGTCTTTAAGATAGGTATCCTAATATGAAAAAGCCTTTTTAATCTATATTTAAGAATTTCATTTTCTCATTCCCACTATAACGGCTTTGGAACTGTTTCCTGTCTGGAACGCCATTTATCTTTTTCGCATCTTCCCAGAAAATAAAAGCCCAGATAATCCAAGGTCACGATTATGATAAAAGATTTGTGATGAATGTAACGTGTGAATCAAGCGTCGGCGCTTGACCACATCTAAAGAGGAGTTTGCAAGTCATGGCCGCGCCGGCGCCATCAGACCATTTATTACTATGCCGCCTAAATTGATACTTTTTACAATGCATTCTGTTTACTTAATTGTTTTTAAATATACTATTTGTGTAACCTTTTTATTTGAGTCAATTTTTTTTTGCGTTACCTTCTCAGATCTTAGGTCTTAGTTAATACCAGTCAGCGACTTCGTCCGCGTTTAAAAAAATGTTTTTTTGCAAAAATCCTTTTCATCTTTATAAATCGTGACCGACGTAAGCAAAGTTAGTAAGTTATACATCTGTATAACATGATACAATTTAGACGTCAAAAAGGCCGTCTTATACAATACACACTTCACAATTTTTTTCTCTAGAAAAGTTCCGGGCATGAAGCCATAATTATAAAGCAAACTCTGTCTCAGTCAGAGAAGCACAGAAGTATAAACTGCGTAGAAGAGATACAGGATCTGACACTAGACTTTTAATTCTCCTCTCAATGTTATTCTTCTTCTATTAAGATTTTAAATATTGCTGCATTAATTGACGTAGAATGTTTAGGTAAACAAAGGAACTCCTTATAGATACGGTTATTTTTTACCAGTGATCATTAAATGTAGATAATATTTTTTGTTATGAAGTAATAAAAATACAGCGTAGGCTTTTGAACTTGCAAGGGCTCATCAATTACAAACACGCTATGAATATATAATTAATTATTTCAACCCTTGTGTTTTTTTTTGTCCCACAATTTCTAGTACTTCGGAATATCTACTTGCAAACATTAATTTCTAGTTATTAAAAGCAACTAAAGGTTTTGTTATTACATATTCTTAACTAATCGCTTAGCAATTGTGTACGCAGGTGCCACCTGCTGGGACGAAAAAAATGTAAACATATCTAGGTGTACACTGTGATAGGTTAAATATTACTTTGAATTTTATTTCTTAACTAATTTATATACTTGATAATACCTACTGTTGGCTTTCGTTGCCTACGCCGATGTTCAAAAGATATGGTACAGGGAAATTTTGTGTCTGTCACCAGATGGTACCTCACGATGACAGCTTGTGACCAGCCTTAGGAAACAAAGATCGATCAGTAAAACAAATATAGAATAGTCTTGAAAATAGTTTTCGTGAGAAAAACAAAATCCTATACATAAATTAACTAGCCGTGCCCGCGACTTCATCCGTGTGGAATAGTAATTTCGGTCGGTTATTGCAAACCGCCTCATGACCCACGACGTCGGCGTTCTTGCGAGTTAATCTTAAAACATACACATACACTGTAGCGGATTTTTTTTTTAGATCATGTAAGAAAAAAATCATTATTTTATACGTTTTTACCACATTTTCCACTGTTTATTTGTCATTTGCTCCTTATGGTCTTATAGGTCCTAAAGCCTTCCTCAATTTATGCTGTATCCGATACAAATAAAAATTCGACGAGTTCCTGAGATTAGCGCGTTCAAACAAACAAACAAACTCCTCAGTTTTATAATATGAGTATAGATTTTACTAAAAATTCTAAAGTTTAGCCCGAAGTAACGAAACTAAACGTGGATCTAAAGGGACTTAACAATTATGCAGCCAATCATAAATTCATAATAGGTAGGTACGGAGCAGCAACGCGGCGTCGGCATTTACCGGCGTTTAGTCGTCATCATGTAATCCGTCATTGCCTAATGACGCATCCTATAATGACACATCTGCATATTATATTCGCCATGCATTAAGGCTTGGGTCTTATATAAACGCTGTAAGTAGCTTATTGCGTCTTATTCATTCTTAAGCCTATAAGCAACCATAGTTTCGTTTTAAGGCATTGCCCTAACCGCTGATAGGTAAAAAAAAGAACAAGAAGTTTATTATAAGTATGTATTTTTTTTTGTGTGTGTCCAGTTTACGGGCTTGTTTATTAAAGGCAATGTTGTTGTCTCCCTAGCACGCACGCGTCAGGTCATTATTTCCAATCGTAGCAGGATAAATGTCGAAATATGACATTTTTCGCGCTGTCATATTATGTTAACATATACTAAAAGAATATTAAAAAGAAGTCATTTAATTTGTGTGAGTTTATGGGCCTACGCGTACTGTTGTTGTCTCCCTCGCACGCTCTTGTTGCGTCATTTCGAATTATAGCAGGATTAACGTCAAAAATAAGACATTTTTCGCGCTGTCATATTATGTTAAGTCATTGTTTTATTTATACAAACAATTTAATCTCTTTCCTAAGTAACT